GGGGTTAGGGGGGGTAGGAACCGTCAATTTTACAAACGGGGCACCGGAGCGCTCCCGGGTCATCCCATGACATTGGTTCCCAATGTCATGGGAACCTTGCCCAAGTTATAATCAATTTAATTAATTTTAATAATAGAATTAAATTGATAAAATTATATACTATGAAATATTTAAAAATTATATCAAAAATTTTATAAAACGGAAGGAGAATTTATTTTTACAATAATTTATCCAATATTTTCAAAACTCATTTAAATTGAATATTTCATTGATATGAGCTATGTATTTGTAGAATACGGAGTAGTTAAAAGTTTAAATCATAGTTACAATATTATACTCCCTCCGTCCCTGAGTGTTTGTCCACTTTCATTTTTGCACACCATCCAATGCACTTCTTAAATTCATTTTATCTTGTAATTTGTATATTAAAAAATTATAAAAATTATATATTAATAATCTATATGTTAAGACGAATCAAACAAGATCACACATGACTATTTTTAGGCTTACACATTGAGAGAATTTGATGAGTCAAAGCGCTTAGATGAACAATTCCAAAAGTAAAAAATGGACAAACACTCAGGGACGGACCAAGTATTTTTTAATATTTTATGAAAAGAAATCATTTTTAAAAAAAATTTATAATCAAGAAATCATCATATCCTTTATCCTTTATATATATAAATCAGACTCCAATCCAAAAGAGCTTGACATGTGGCATAATATGAGTTATACATGTGGCATAATATGAGGTAAACATGTGACATAATATGATGCATATCATTAGACATTTGATTTATGAACTAGACTCCATTTTAATAATACTTGATATAGGATTAAACTTTTATTTTTTATCAAAAAATAAAATTATTAAAAATAAAAAATTCATTCAATTATTAAGAATAAAATTATTCAATAAATTCTTTGTATAAAAAGATGAAACTTTTATCTTTAGAAAATTGACATGTGCATTACTTATGTGGCTTTTTATGCCTAATATGTCACCTAATTTACGTCATAAAATATGAAAAATATTTTGGTATGAAATCTTTGAATAAATTTAATTGTGAAAGAGTGATATTAATTTTTATTTTAATATTTTTTCATAATCCAGTATTTATATTTATTCATTTGTAGCAAAAATTTCAATTAATTAATACACCACTCTCTTCACCTCTAATTAAGTTCCGGATGAATATTTGTTTATGATAAGTTAAAATGAAGTTAGTTTTGAATCTATTTCTTTCAATATTGGTATAAAATAAGAAAACAAACCATATATTTTAAAAATTACATTAAACACTTTTAGAAAAACAAGAGATAATTGGTCATAATCATGTTCAAGTAGAAAAAATTACGATACATAGTTTTGTAATTAATTATTTTAATATTATGAGTTTAGTTAATTACTAGAGAATTTATCATTTATAGATTTTTGATGCTTTATGATTTAAAAATAAGAATATATAATTTTTAATTATCTATTGTGGTATGATACTTAATTTAATTAAATTATATAACTGATGGACAATAAATCCACCAAATGATCCGGTTCACAGAGCGGATCGTAAGAACAAAATTAAGAACGAGAATTCGAGAATTGGGTGTGTATTACTAGCTTGATTTAGCTTGAGTTCTCCCCTTTCGGGTCCCCTCTATTTATACATGAGCTCTAAACAATTAAGGTAATGCATAACCGATGAAGTCTATCCCGCCAAGGGCGCGATCCCCTTTTCCCAGCTCCGTAACGGCCAATCTGCTCCGTCTCCTTCTCCGGATTGACTCTGCCAGCTGCGCTTGGCCTGAGGTTAACTAGGCCCAGCTCCTTGGGCCGGCCCATCTTGAGTATTTCACAGGTGCTTGACCCGAAGCTGTTTAAATGGTTCATTTGGGCCGTCCTCTGGATATCGGCCCATCATAAGCCCCCCAACTCCTCAGTCCTCAGCTGGGCCAAGTGGAGGAGTGGGGAGTTTGCAAAGTCCACGTGGACGCTCCAGCGGGGATCCGAGCCGTTCCTTGGGTTCCGCACGACATTTGGGCATGATCTCCACAAATAAGTAATCATGGCCTGCCGATTCGCCTTCCTGTTGTCAGTTAAAAACCGCCGCTGGACGCCATCTCTTTCTTTCGCCTTCTTCACTACCGTTCGTCTGCAACTCCGCTGCTCACCCGACTCGTTCTTCTTCCTGTCCAGGTCAGTTCCTTCTCTCGCCGCCATGATTGTCTCAGATTCCGATTCGGCTACCCCATCGTCCAATTCTCGCCAAGCCGGTCAATCGACCTTTGACCGTAACCCCGGCCACACTCCATCACCCCGGCCGTCGCCGTCGGCCGTGCCTGGCCACAAACGGCGTCGATTGAGGAAGCAATACCCTTCCTCAACTCCGGTAGATGAGGGCTCAAGGGTTGAATTGGACGAAAACATCATGGCGTTGTGCCATTGTCAAATTACTGACCGGGGGTTCGCCGATGCCAGTGACATGGTTGGACCCTCCATCGAGGTCATGAGACCTACCAGTACTCAAACTACTCTAGACGCACCGTCGGGGTTCTTCACGGTCCATCTGGCGTCTTTGAAGAAGGGGCTGCGCTTCCCACTCCACCCGTTGTTGATCGAATTCCTCAACGTGGTGGACCTTCTCCCGTGCCAACTGGTCCCCAACTCTCACCGGTACATCGCCGGTTACCTGGTCCGGTGCAAAGATATAGGGGTGAAGCCGACCTTGGACCATTTCATATTCACCTTCAAACTGACCAAGGGCCATAAAGATTGGGCGTCTTATGCCAGTCTTTCCCAGAGGTCCTGTAAACTCTTTGCTAGTGATAAGAAGGGGTCAACCAAATACTGGAAGCCTTTCTTTGTCTTCGTTTTGACGGGGCCCGAATCTCCTTTCACGGGTTCAGGGCGCCCTTCCTTCCGCCGCATCCCATGCCCCCACCTGATGCCACCGTTTTGTCCATCACTCGCCAATTCTGCAATAAGGGAGTTGTGAACATTAAAGAGGTGGTGACAGAGGAAACCCTTGCCGGGTTGGGGTTTGAGTTTGTTCAGGATGAGCTTCGCCACCAACCCGACCTACTGAGGGACATCCCCGGGGGGCATCAGCCTGACCAGCTGAAGGACATTCCTGAGGAAGGTCTTGACTGTGGTCCTTTTGGTAGGTGACCTTTTCTTTTGCCCAAATGTTTAGTTTATCTTTTCCCAAGGCTGACCATTTCCTTTGTTTCCAGTGGAATTACAAGATTCAGGAGAAGAGATGGACAGCGATCTCCTGCTCAGTCGCTTCACTGCAGGGAAGAAGAGGAAGAGAGAGACGAAGGGCCAGGGCAAGCGTTCTTCATCCCACCGCGAGGAGGGTCCTTCTCGAGAGCCGGCCGTAACTATGGTAGAGGACCAAGAAGATGCTACCCAGGAACCGGGTACCATGGCTGGCCAATCCCCTCCACACCCCGTGATGCAAGGTGGCGACCTCGTCGGGTCGTCTCAGGGCATTGCCTTGGAGTGACCTCCCTCGCCACCCGCAGTGACCTACGAGGTGGCGACCGGGGGTCGCTCGACGAGGCTCTGCATCCCTCCCCTGCCCCAAAGCCTAGGGGACGTACAGCTGGAGACTCTGATCACTTTGCCTGCAGAAGACCAGGCTCGTATCTCAGCAGGCTCCGAGGACGACCTTGACAACATGGTCCTTTTGAGGCTCAGTCAGGTACTGGTCTTGATCTCCTATGCATCACTCCTTTTCTTTTTGCCCATAACCCTCACCCCTCTGCGCAGGCTACGCTGGGGATGATTGAGGTGGTCGGCCGGAAACGGGGTCGCCAGGCCACCGCAGACGAGGTGATGAAAGCAGCCGAGGCCAAGCAGAAGGAGCTGCAGGAAGAGGTCGTTCGACTCACAAGGGAGTTGGAGGAGAAAGAAAATTGCTACGCGGCGCTTGCTGTGGAGAAAGCTTCCCAGGAGAACCGTTGCGTCGCCCTTGAGGCAGACAAGGCCTCCTTGTCCTTGGAGGTAGAATTTGTTTCTGCTCGCGTGGTCGACCTGGAAGGGGAGAAATCTGATCTGATCCAGCAGTTGGAAGTGGAGAGGAGCGATCGGGTCCGCCATGCAGAGGAAGCGGTAGAATCCTTCAAGTCCTCTCCTGACTTCACGTTGGTCGCGATGGAGCAGATGGAAGAGCTAACGGCCGCTTGGCTCAAAACTGAACCTGGGGCTCAATGGATGGTCAAGGAGGGGACCAAGTCCTTCAATTGCGGACTCTTCCGCGCCCAACAGGTCTTCCGCGACAGACTGGCCCAGCTCCCCAAAGGATTCTCTCTCCCCGACCTTGGCTTCCCTCCTCCCTGGTGCTCTTTGGCCGAGTTCGACCCCAGTCGCTATCTGGACGGGGGGAGCTCGAGTGCGTCGGAAGAAGAGGAAGAAGAAGAAGTGGAAGGTGGTCAGAGCGACCAGAATCCAGGGGCCAGCTTAGCCATGTCCAAAGCGGGTGGACCTTCCGGCTCGGCCGTCTAAATCCCCCATTGTTCCCCCATAGCTTTACAAACACTTGCCTCTCTCTTTTCCTTCGGAATGATTTGTCGTTTTGATACAATGCTCCTATGTTGTTTGATTTTCTAGATTCACCATGTGCTTTCTTTTTTCGGCGCTTTACTTCAGCACTCTCTTTTTTGATTTAGCTGGTTAACATGTATGTTTTAGTTTGGGCCCAACTCCTAGTCCCGGCCCGTTTACCTGTCCGGGCCCAATCTCTGGATTGGCCAGCGTGCCGCCCAATTGACCCAATGCCCTTCACCGTTTCTGATTGGACCTTTGCGCGGCTCAAAGCTGCTTTATTGGTTCAGCTGCCTCGAGACTTGACCGTCTCTTCGGTTCCTTCGCCCTGGCTTATTTATAAGTCCCCCTGGCCTCTACTCTGCTCCATCACCAAATATCTTCCTTTCCTCCATCCTTGCCATGTCTGAAGGAATTCCTGTTTCTCTGAATCTTTCCGACGGGCCGGCTCCTTCTTCGCCAGAGCCTGCCTCCTCCCCCAAGTCAGCCATTTCCAATGACTGGGGGGGCTTGACTCTTACGAATTCTGTCGCCGGTTGCCTCGCCGACAATGGCCATCGGTGAAACCGCCGCCACTACCTCCAAACCCTTATGAAGACTTTAGTGAGGCGTACAAGGCCCTCTCTGCCAACCGCCTGCCTGACGGGCGGATTGACTGGGATGCTCCATGCCCCCTCCATTCCCTGCAATGTATGGCCTGGGAGAGCTTTCAAGATGAGCACTTACCCTTCCTAGAGCATGAGTGCGCATACTATGCAAGTTTTGAGCGATGGACTAGCGAAAGTCGCACCAGTTCACCGGTGAGGCCTATGGAGGAGGTTGTGTTAGGGGAAGAACTGGGTTCTTCCCTACCTCGCCCCGCTTGCCATTCACTTCACCAGAAGACCCCTAGGCGACCTGAAGTAGCTCGGGCGGCTTCAGGATCTCCATCCTTGCCTAGGTGATGCTGGTTGGGGTTCACAGAGAAGTGAGCCGTCCCCCGTCTTTCCTTGGTAGGAGAAGGGCGGTGGGTTTTTGCCGAGGCTGGGGGCGACCACTCCCGTTCCATGTTGGGGAATAAAGGTGGTCGTCCTGGACGGCCGGTGATCGGAGTTTTGCCTACCTATACAGCTGTAGAACTACCCTTCAAACATGCCTGTACCCCCTAGACCTTCGCTTGCAAAGTATTCGATTGTTGTTTTTCATTGTAAGAGATGTATGGGAAAGTATCCCTCCTTACGTAGAGATTGTTCTCAACTGTACTGTAGCAGATGCAAGAGATTATCCTTGGAATGTAATGAACATTTTTGTGAATGTATTTTGATGTTACCTGTTTAATTACAAGTTTCACCTTCTTCTCTTTCGCATCCCACTTTAGACGTTCAGGTTTCCTCGGACTTGAATCAGAGAATACCTCGCCTCTTTTGACTTAGCCATTTCCGGGTTACTTTGACCCTTGTGGCGTCGCCATACCCCCAAGATCCCCTGGTCGCTCATGCGATCAACAGATCTTGTGTTCCAGACTTAGCCGTTCTCTCAGGCTTTCTTGCCACGACGTCGTCTTCAACCTTGGTCGCTTGATAGGGTTCGACGCTTCACCCACTACTGGGTATCTTAGCACGAATCACCGTGCAATTTTAGCGATCTCTTGTGGTCGCTCCCTTTTTTTTTCGAGAATCAGAGACAAGGTGTGCCAGAAAGCTGGTTTTATTAAACTTCAAGAAAAAGACATGGCTGGAATACAACCTATTGATAAAATTTGATAAGGTTGGAGGCATTCCATACTCGCGGAACGTCGCCACCGGTTGGAGTCTGCAATCTAAATGTCCCATCAGCCAACACCTACTTAATGATATATGGCCCCTCGAAGCTTTTAGCAAACTTCCCTCCATTGGTCGGCCGGCTAACCTCCCTCTTCCGAAGGACCCAGTGGCCCACCTTGAACTGCCTTGGTCGCACCCGCTGGTCGTGATATGACTTGACCTGCCGGCGGTAGTTTTCTGCCCGCATATATGCCCTTTCCCTTCGCTCATCAATGAGGTGCAGTTCTCCCATCAGGTTCTCCTCATTTCCTTGAGCATCAAACGTCTCTACTCTATAATTTAACAACGAGGTCTCCGCTGGAGCCCTTGCTTCAAATCCATATGTGAGCGAGAAAGGAGTTTCACCTGTGGCCTTCCTTGGGGTAGTTCTGTAGGTCCACAAAATATAGGGCACTTCTTCCACCCAGGCACTTTTGCATTCCATTATGTTCTTCTTGAGGCCGTCCATGATGGTACGATTGGTGTTCTCAACCTGCCCATTGGTTTGGGGGTACCCGACCGCTGCATAGCTGTGTTTTATGCCTCAGCTCTGTAGAAACTCATTGAACCCTCCGGCCTCGAATTGGGTTCCGTTGTCAGTGATGATCTGCTGGGGCACCCCAAATCGGCACAAGATTTGCTTGGAAACGAACTTCGTCATCTGTTCCGCCGTGATGGTTGGCACGGGGGGCGGCCTCGACCCACTTGGTGAAGTAGTCAATCGCGACCGCCAGGTATGTGTTGTTCCCTGTCCCCCGAGGCAAAATACCGACCAGATCGATGCCCCACCGGGCAAAAGGAATCGCTGTGCTTATCGGGGTATAATTCGTCGCCGGTCGCCGTGGCATCCTCTAGAATTCCTGGCAAACCTTGCATTTGCACACGTACTCTGCGCAATCTCTGATAATCGTTGGCCAAAAGTATCCTTGTAGGGTCACCTTCCTGGACATCGTGAAGGCTCCCTGATGTGCTGAACAAATTCCCTCATGGATTTGCTCCATTAACTTCTGTGCCTCGGCCGCTCTTAAGCACCTCAACAATGTACCATTGTACGATCGCTTATACAGCCGACCGCACTCCAGCGTGTAGCTGGGTGCACGTCGTTTCACCACCTTTGCCGCGATTGGGTCGATAGGTAGCGACCCGTCAAGGATGTACATGGTAATCTCATCAATCCAATCCGGCTCCTCTTTGAGTGTGATGATCAGCACTTGTCCGGGACTGATGCTTGGCTCGAGCAACTCTTCTTCCTGGGTCATTGCCTTAATATGATCCGGGGAA